AGGAACTTGGACTTGTATTGTATGTCATCCACCGAGAATGACTTCATGGCTTCCTGCAGGGCCTCCTTCATGGCATCTTTGAACAAGTCAAGGCAGGATTTCAGGGTGGCGCGGGTGCCCATCTGGATCCTGTTGGTGTAGTAAGTTCATCAAGGACAGAGAACAAGACGTGTCATCCACCGCCTTCCTACTGGTAAGGAGCATGAAGCCAAGGGGAAGCCACAGTAATAAAGGCTGGGACAAAGGAAGCAGAATAGCCCAAGGGGCTGGAGCATGACCAGAGAAGGGCAACGGAACTGGGGAAGGGTCTGGAGCACAAGTCTGACAAGGAGTGGCTGAGGGAACTGGAGGTGTTCAGCCCAGCTCTCCTGGTCCTGCAGGAATTGCCTGAGCAGGTCTCCTCCAGGACACAGTGGTTGGGATGATGTTCACATCGCACTTCACATTATGTGAAGTCACTTGCACCATGCAGTGCATTGAGGTTTTGGGGCTTCCTGCCTGTTGTGCAAATACCGACCTGTCTGAAGCATGAACTGTCTCTGGTTTCCTGTCATTGTTGACTGCGTGCCTGGAGCTAAGGGTGTGACTGTAGGTGGGGAAACAGCTACGGCCTGATGTTCTGCAGCCTGAACAGACCATGAGAAGCTGCTGAACTTAATACCTGAGGGGGTGAGGAGCTGACTAAAGTTACACAGCACCCAAGAATTTCATGGATGCTTGAAGGGGGTGATTGGACTTCACTGGGAACCCCAAAGGAGGGTGGGGGACCACTGGTGAAGGAGAGTCTTGCAAGGCAGCAGTGACCAGGTACCCACACCAGCCACATTGCACAAAGCATGGATATCGTAGGTGAAGTTACCATAAATATGAGGTTTGGGAACAGGTGTCTTAAAACTGGGATCATTAAGGAAAATGTAATTTGGAGGAGTAATTTTTTTAGTAGGGATTGAGGTGGATGGAGAAGAACAAGCAAGAGAAAATGGGGAGAAAGAGGGAGAAATGGGGCTGATCAAGTGCAAGATGCTTCTCAATACGCTTGTCTGGCCTGTGCTTGAGCACCACAGCACGTCCCACCTTCTCATTAAATCCTCCCTGCTAACAGCTCTCCATGGGACCTCCCACCATTCTCTCTGTGTGTACTCATGTAAAGACAGGTAATTCATGAGCAAACACAGAGCTGGACTGGCTGGGTTGGGCTACTCATGCCAAGCAGGTTGGCTTTGGCTACCAGCAAATGCAGTTTTCTAGAAGGCAGCAGGAAAGCAAACAACGCTGGGCACTCTCTGGCTGTGGCACTTTGGGGTCCCTTTCTGCACCCTTTGACTTCACAAAAGGAGGGGACTCTCTCACCTGAATATGTTTCCAAAAGTGATGTCAATTTTGTCATAGATGGGCTCAGCCAGGTCCTCGTTGATGTCGATCCGGCCGAAGCTGCGGGACGTGTACACCCCGTTCTTCATGCACACAGCTTTCAGGGTCCTGTGGAAGCCCTGGCCCCCGTGGACCTGCGGCCAGATGGGAAACACCAAGGAGTGAGGAATGGGCAGGACTGATGACTGACCATGATCTGTGCTACACAGCAAGCCAAAGCAACCTGGAGTAAGGACACCTTCTACTAGACCAGGTTGCTCCAAGCCCTGTCCATCTAGGCCTTGAACATTGCCAGGGATGGGGCAGCCAACAAGGTCCTTGGGCAACCTGGGCCAGTGTCTCACCACCCTCACAGCAAATAATGTCTTCCTAAGATCCCATCTCAATCTCCCCTCTTGCAGCTTGAAAACATTCTCCCTTGTCCTGTCTCTCCCTGCCCCTGTCAGAAGTCCCTCCCCAGCTTTCCTGTAGTCCCTCCAGGTCCTGGAAGGTGCTCAAAGGTCTCTTCAGAGCCTTCTCCTCTTCAGGCTCAACAACCTGAACTCCAGAGCAGAGCTGCTCTAGCCCTTAGATCATCTCCCTGGCATCCTCTGGACTTGTTCCAACAGCTCCATGTCCTTCTTGTGTTGGGAACCCCAGAACTGGACCCACTGAACTACAGCACCTTGAGCCTTGGACAGCAGCTGAATGGGGCTGTGGAGTCTCTGCTGCTGGGGTGAGAGCACTGCAGTTCCCTCAGTGCCCCTGCATGGGTCTGGGACAGATCTGAGACACCTGTCTCAGGTCACTCAGGGACTTATGCACTGAAATGCCACATCTTCTGTGTCAGCCCTCTCTCTTCCCAGCCGGAATGGGAGACATCCCACTAAGCTGGATGCTTTTAAGGCACTGATGTCACACAGCCCAGCAGAGACTCCAGCCTTGGAGGTTTTCTAAATTGCCTGGACAAGGTTCAGGGGAGCCTGACCTCGTGTCGGTGCTAGCCAGTACTGCAGACCTCCAAGGGTCTTTTTAAAAAAAAGTATTCCAGGCTTCCAAATAAACTGCTTTATACTCACATTGAAGATCCTGTTCATATTTTTCTTATAAGACCTCTTTGCTTGATCTATGCCATCCTGGAGTGGCTGCTCAATAGGTACAAAGCATTTCTCGATATCTTTGTCCAAGTCAGTGATCTTGTTCATAATTAATTCTTTCAAGTGACTTTCCTTCACTTGCTGGCTCTGAAAGAAATGAACAACCAGGGAGGGAGTGGGGAAATCAGTGAACAGCTCATGTGGGATGCAACATAAACATAACCCTGCAAGTATCTCTGCAACCAGCACAATCAGTGCTGCCTCTGTTCCCCCAACACTACCCCCAGTCCAGGGACATTGCTCAGAAACACATGAATGAAAACTGTCACCCTGTGTCACTGGGAGCTGGAGAACAGCCTGGAAGACTTCTTGTTGGTGAAGCAGTAGGAGATGCAGTCAAGCTGAGCTGAGTGCAGCTATTTTAGGCAGCAGAGCCTGTTGCATTTGTCAGCCCACTGCAAGATACTTTGCCAGCAGTTTTCATATGTGTCATGCTAGAAAAACATGACAAGTTGCCTGCTTAAAGCAGAAAAACCTGTCTGGAGCCATTGCCAGCTGCCCAGCAAGGCAAAAATAGTGGTATTGTCTGAAACTGTTCTGAACCAACCTCTGGATCTTGGTTGGATGGGAGACTCTGAATGAGTGAGAAAGCAGCCAAAGCCTCTGTCACATAATCCATCAGCTCATTCCTCTTCTGTTTTTTGTAGAAGCTCCGGATGTACTCCCTCAGCTTTGGGATCTCTGAAACAGAGCAAGCAAGGTTGAATGAGCAGTGTGAGAGGACAGCACGCCTCTCAGAGAGCCCAGGGAAACTCATTCCTTCTACAGAACATCTGGGACATGCGCATTTCAGAAGTGGTGGCTCAAGACAGATCATGGGAGATCCTAAGTGTCAAGAAAGGCTTTAAGGATTCATCTTCTGCCACAGCAGGTGCCTGGTTCTGTTCAGCACGTAGACACAAATGAGCAAGCACCAGTCCATAACAGCATGAGGTGGGCATGTGGGGGCTGCCAGGACTTGGGTTGGTCCCACAGAACTGTACAAGCACCTTGGGGATGGGATATTGCATGAGGAAAATAGCACTGGAAAAGATTTTGTAGATATGGACTAAATAAATTCGTTGCCAGTGCAGCCTTGTGCTGAAGGTCTCATCTTGGTTATGACAACAGGTTCAAGCGCTGAAGGACCAGGGAAAAATAATTGGATCAAAACATAATGGAATAATTATATGGCTTTCTGAAGAGGAGAGAACAGGGCAAAAATCGTGCTGGTTCACCACGGGACAGACTGGACCATGCAGAAACCAGGGAAACAGAAATATCTCAATATGCTGCCTCTCATGAAGGACCATTGCAGGGGTGCAGGACCAAGCTGTGCTCAAGGGATCATCTCTTGCCTCTGCTCTAATTAAATCTAATTCAAATTAGATTTTAATCACTAATTTGAAGGGAGAGGAGAAGGAGGAGGAAGAGGAGAGAAAACCCCAACATCACCTGTTTCATCCCTGTTCAGTGTGTCCCCGCTCCAGTACTTGCGGGCACTGACCGTGTACACGAGATCATCCTTGTCCAGAACTTCAGAGCTACTTGGAAACTTTCTCTGAAAAGCACAGATATCAACCAAGCTCCCTTAGGCCTTGTCCACAAATCCACCCTAAAGACAACATAATCAACCTCTTTGCTTCACCTGCCTCCCCCAGCACATCTCTCTTTGCCTGTTAAAGCTTGGTTCTGCCAGAGTCAGCTGCTTCACTGTGCACAAAGACCTCTTGTTTTTAAACCTGAACCTACAGCAGTGTGATTGGATTTGGGTTGTTCTTTGTTGCTGAGCAAATTCTGAATCAGGAGTCATCCCCCCCCACCAAACAGTTACAAATACAATGGAGAACTGAACTGCAGGTGACCAAGAAGACCAGTTGGACTCAAATTCAGAACAAAGTAAGAGTTCAGAGCAATCAGAAGCTCCCAGATAATGACCAGCCTTCCTGAAGAATTTATATTAATATACTATTCTAGGAATATTGTGATACAGACACGCCATTGAACACAGGTTCATGGAACAGGCAAACTCTGTCCAGGTTCTCCAAGCTACTTTACCCCTAGGTTCCTCCTCATACTTGTTGTCTTCTCCCGCTTCACAGTTTCATTCCTTTCCAGGATGGCATCATGTTTATTGATCTACATTGTAGAAAACAACAGGAATTAGTACTGACATTCCCTGTCAATGTGAAGTAGAGCCCTACGTTTTTAAGGCCAAAAGAAAAGTCCTGTACAGTTTCTCCCTACTGCAAGGCCAAGAACCTTCTGGTTTCTGCATCAGGTCCAGCAGTTCTGCTCAAGTCACATTATATCATATGGAAAATTCTTCAGTTTTCTGAAATGACCCAAAAGAGGTGAGGAAACTGAAGTCTGGAAAATACTCACATGGTTGTTGCCACTTTCCCTGGAAAGATAAAAACAAGAGAGACATTACCCATCAGAAGGCTGTTAGCAGGTGACAGACCTCTGCTCCTGTAAGGAGAAGGGAAGGAGGACTGCACCAACATGGTCCACGTGGGGACAGGGCCAGCACCACCCCCAGTGCCCCACTTCTCTGCAGCTTGTTTCTTTACCGCTGGTATTCGCTTAGATCCATCTGATCAGACTTTGTGACCACCAAGGAGATGTCCTTGCACACCCCACACTGGAAAGCCTTCATGCCTTCTTTCAGCATCTTCTCATGGTGTTTGTCTCCTTGAATACGTTCAATGGAGTTGACCACCCAAATGACAGAGCATTTGTTGATGTTCTGCAATGGGAGGACAAGAAGAAGCACCAGGAAGAGAAGATACAAACCATTAGCAAATAAACCAGAGATGCTGAGCAATTTAATTCCCAGCAAGTCTGGCTGAAGAAGGAGGATGTGTAAACTTTGCAGTGTGTATTTCTAACCAGAGACCTCAGCCTCCCACCAGGAATTCCTACCACCCAGGGCTGCCACAGCTGAGGGTGTGGCCTGGACACCAGGGCTTGCACTAGCAGGGTGTTCGGTGGTAGCCTGGCAGCAGGAAGGAAGGAAGATAGATAATAAAAGCTCAGGTGGGAAACACTGAAATGTTCACCTGGACCTTCTGCTAAAAGGTTTCCGTGTGCCCCACAGCCCTGCTGAGGCTCCCAGATGTCTCACTCACTCAGCACTGCAGAGCTCCCTGCCAGAGAGCCAGCAAGTATCCCCATCCTCCCCCCAGGAGAACTGTTCAGTCACCTCTTTCCACATGGCATCCCTTTTGCTATTGAAATCGCCTGTCCCTGGAATGTCCACAAAGATGACACCTTCTGGAAACACTTGCAACCTTGGGATAGTCACTTCCACATTTTTGATGAGAGGCCAGAGACGTGGTTTTTTGTTTTCTTCACTTGTTCCTGCTGCTTCTCCATTACGGATGCTCTGAATCCAGATATACGGGCCCATTTTTTTAGAAAGGTCTTCTTCCTGGGACACAGGGGACGAATGAAGTATCCCTCCTTAGCAAAGAACCTCAGAGATACCAGAAAACAATTATGATCTGCCACAGCTGGTTGTGACCACTCCAAGCCCCATGCCCCGGGTGTGCACATCATGGCATGCAGAGGGGAAACAACTTCCCATTGTCAGCACTGGTGGGACAACCCAAGCAGCCCATTCCCTTCCCAGCACAATGAAGCCAACAAAGATCAGGAAAAGATGGCACCTCCCACGCCCAGTGGGCAACATGAGACCACCAGGAGCCCACGGTGCCGGGGTTCATCCTGTCTCTTTGTTATCTGCTGGACACTGCCTCTCTCCCACCCAGGGACAGCAGAGAAGTTCAGTTTAATAAGATATGGAAAGGAACCTGCCCCACCAGCTGCCACAGCTTTCCCAGAGAGACAGGCCAACTCCAAAGACTGTCCTCACTTACTGGGGCTGAGACAGAAGCAAATGGATTAAGATCCTTGGCCGTATATTGCAAGGACACAAGGTGTGGGGCCATTGTGGCCAAGAATTACACGGGCTACTCACGTTTGCTTCCCTGAGGGTGATGCATCTTGCACTGGGAATAGGGATGACAGGTCTCATCCTACACAGCTCTTCGTAAGACTTAGTTTCGCTGCCTTCCCCGTAGATAGCAGAGATCTTTGAAACAGCCTCATTTTGTTCATTGCTGTCCTCATCTTCATCATCTTCTGCAAGTGCCACAAGGCACTTCAGCTCATCCTTCCACTCCTGTGGAGAAAGAGCAGATGCACAGAAGAGATGATGGCTTAGGTGCCAGGAAGAGGGAGAGGAAAGACAGAGCCTGAGCCAGATTGCCCTGTGGCCGCCAGCAGGCAGGTGCAGCTGAGGGGTCTCAAGCATCCAGGACAGGAGACCAAGGAAGAAGTTGTGTTGCTTCTTCACTCCTTGCACACCAAAACCAGAGGGAACCGGTGTCAGCATCCAGCACTTCTCTGGGGACACTTGGGCCATTGGGGTTGCATCCTTCCCCACCCCACATCCCCTCCAGAAGCATGCAC